AAAAAAAAAAAAAAAAGATCCAGTCCCAAGAAATACAAAGGACACCAAATAGAATCAACCCAAGAAGATCTTCTCCAAGACACATTATAGCCAGATTCACCAAAACCACAGACAAAGACAAGATACTAAGATTGGCAAGACAGAAACAGCAAGTTCTCTACAAAGGATATCCCATCAGGCTAACAGCGGACCTCTTATCAGAAACAATGTGAACAAGGAAAGAATGGGAAAATATATTCAAAGCGTTAAGGGAAAAGCAATTTCAACCAAGAATACTGTACCCAGCGAGATTATCTTTCATATGGAAAGACAAAGCAAGAATATTCTCAGATAAATAAAACCTGAAAGAATTTACCAACACCAGACCAGATCTCCAGGAAGTTCTTAAAGGAGAGCTATACCAGGAAAATTAAATACAGACACAGAAGTAAGAGTTCAAAAACTAAGAAAAGGGTCAACATAATCATAGGGACACATCTGGAGTTGAATATTATATCCCAGAATTTAATCATAAAGATTGAGCCACAACAGAAAATAAATTAAATACATGAGACTGAACTGGAGAAATAGCATTTGATGACTTTTGACTAAAACATTGTTGATTTTCTTCTAGGCTTTGTTTTCTGGTTTTAAGGATTTTTGTCCTGTCTTGAGCTGCCGATAGATTCATGTACCTACTATTTGAACAGAATCCTAACCTGTTTCCTGGCTTTAAGTTTTAAGTAAAGTTCATTAGCATTTCTTTATTAAAGCTAAAACTGCTTTTCTTAAAAATTAAAAAATATATTAAAAATATCTATTTAATGACCATAGTAAGCTTTAGAGCATCAACTAGGTGCTACCTTATAGTATAGTCATTCTACTTAGAGTTTAATGCCTAAAGTCAGACATGTATTCACTGATATGTACATACCAGCTAAAATTGCTATTGAAAGTAGTTAGATTACTTAAGAAATTTTGTATATATATATGAAACTAGAAATGGAAAATTAATGATGATAACATGTATGATTAAGCCATATGTAGTATATTTTGGATGGGAAATCACATTTTGTACGCTGTGACAATGCTCAGGGAATGAATGTAAATTAATTAATTAATTTAAAATGTTTCAGAAGAAAATTACGGTGTACTTGTAACTAAAAAAAATTTTTTAAATAATCATAGTAAAAATAAAGTAAATAAATATACTAGATAAAAACATAATAACAAATGGAATTAAATTATTATGTTAAAAAGATATTAACAATAACAATAAAATGAAATAAACAATTATTTAAAAAAAAATAAAAATGTTGGCATGATGGCTATGTTGTTGGACTCCCATGTAGTTGACCACGGTTCAAGTCCCAGACCCAGTGGCTTAAACTCACACCGGGCTCATGTGCATGCATTCCTAAGATCCTGAGAGGAGAATGGAAGAAAAGGGATTGCGATGTGGCCATTCCCCCTGGGGGGAGATTTCTCATTTTCTGTCTGTTTCTTTGTCTTTTCTGGCAAGTGCATGCGCCCTATAGGAAAAACCTCGCCAAAATAATAATTAATTAATTAATTAATTAATTAATTAAAGTAGAGTGACGAGCCCACTAGTGGCAAGGCATGGTAATTGAGGTAGCTGTATCCCACATGGGTGAGTTCTCAGACCCAGTGGCTTGACATACATGCCTGGCATGTGTGTATGCATGCCCAAAATCCTGAAAGGAGAAATCAGGAGAAGAGTGTGTGGTATGACCATCCCCCATGGGGGGTTCTTTATCACTTTCCCTCTCTCTCTCTCTCTCTCTCTCTCCAGCAAGTGCACATGCCTGCTAGAAAATTAACATAAATAAATAGAAAGATAAATAAATAAATAAGTGGAATGGCATGCTTAGAAAGAAGGATGGATTGAAAAAAGAAGAAATTAGAGGCAGAGAAACCAATCTAGAGGTGAATTCAGTGCTCCAGGTTAGGAAGTATGACAGCCAGAATTACAGCAGTGGAAAGAGGGAGAAAGGAATTGATGAAAGAAACATTTCAGGATGGACTCAATAGGCCTTAATGAATAATTGAATATGGGAAATGAGGGAAAGACATCAATCCAGGGTTTATAGCTTATGAAGCTGTACTGCCAGTAATGCCATTAGTCAGAAAAAGGAAGGCAGGAAGAACAGATCTGGCAGGGGTCACTTTGGATGCTACAAGTTTGAGCTGCCTGTGGAAATTGCAGGGGCCTATAATACTCAGTTAACATTCCACATATAGAGTTCAGAACTAGAGACACAAATTTGAGTCATCAGAAAAAAAGTTCAGATTTGAAGTGGTTTTTATCATTACAGATATTATCATGTGCTACATCAGTGTTTTGTGGTTGTGTTTCTTGTTTGTATGTATGCAAGTCTGAGTATCATTGATGGATATATGTGAATTTATGTTGACAATATAAAATGAGGATAATACTACATATCACATGAGATTGTTGTAAGAACTGATTGTAAGGATCTAGACTATGCTTCAAAAAGGGCAATGTTTCCCTACTAGATGTGTGTGAGTTTCTGCATTCTGTATTCTGCTATTAGTAGGCATTAGGATGTGGTATGTAGCAAGTGTGTGAGACCTACTCACCTGAGAAGCTTCTCTCCCCACTTACAGCGGCACCTGTTGAGGATTCCTATGACAAGTGGGGACAAGGAGTGAGCCATTACAAAGCAGAGGCAGAGAAATAAAGTGTGTGTGTGTGTGTGTGTGTGTGTGTGTGTGTGTGTCTAAGTTGAGGTATCCAGAGGTGCCAGAGTTAGGTAGGCTAGCCGAGGGGTCTCAGATACAGAACACAAAGGCAGCCAAAGCTGGCACCTGGCCACAGATCTGAGCTGGGGTTACCATACATGGAGATGAGAAGAGGAAAGGACACTCACAGGAACACTCTGCTAAAATAATATACAAAGTTGGCCTAGTTAAGACTCATGAAGAGCCCAACACACTTACTTAAAAATTAGACTAACCTGGGATTACATCAGACTAAGAAGTTTCTGCATGGCAAAAGACACAGTGATTAGTGTGAACAGACAGCCCTCAGAATGGGAAAATATTTTTGTAAACTATGCATCAGACAAGGGACTGATAACCAGAATTCACAAGGAACTCAAGCAGCTGTTCCGGAAAAAGACAATCAATCCTATTAAAAGATGGGAGAATGAGTTGAAAAAAACCACTCTCTAAAGATGACATACAAATAGCTAAAAGGCATATGAAAAAATGCTCAACATCCCTCATTGTAAGAGAAATGCAAATCAAAACAACAATGAGATATCACTTAACCCCAGTCAGAATGTCTAAGATTAAAAAAACAAAAAATGATAAGTGCTGGAGGGGGTGCAGTGAAAAGGGAACTCTCTTCCACTGCTGGTGGGAATGTAAATTGGTCCAACCACTGTGGAGAACAATTTGGAGATTCCTCCAAAATCTACAAATAGAACTACCATACAATCCAGCAATCCCACTCCTTGGTATCTACCCGAAGGACAGAAGAATACTTAATCGAAAAAGTGCTTGCACATCGATGTTTATTGCAGCACTATTCACAA